TCCAACTAAAATTTAGACATCCTTGTGCGGTTGGAAATTGATTTGTTTTCACTCCTTTTGATCTTTCGTTGCATCCATTTGACCTCTAGCATTCTTGAATCTTCATCGTGAGCTTCGACACAACTTTTGTGTATTTGCACTTTAACCCTCAAGCTTTAGATCTTTCCATTTTTTTGTCAATTTTTGCATTCTTTTCTCCAATTCTTCATCATCCATCAAGTTTCACCTAATAACACATTATATCATAAATTAGGTTATAATCTCATTAAAAGAACCACCAAATGTCATAATTTGGAGCCCGAATAAGTGTATAAAATACACTTATCATATAACTTTTTGATTATATAAGCGCTGAGAAGTCCAGCCCGCAGCAGAAATTAAAATGCCATTTCAGAGAGAAAAGACCACATGCACATGCTTTCGTGTGAGAATAATCCTGGAAGGAAGATGAAGAAGAGAGAGACTCTTACCAAAATGCCGAGTAGCGTTCTTGCAAGAAATAAGTACAAGAGGCTTACAATAAAGTGTAAAGAAATTGTAGGATCAATAGTTGTCATATCAGAGCTTTGAATGGCATTGAAAAGCACCACTGAAGTAGCATCATTCACTACACCTTCTCCAAATACCAAACTGTAAAGTAGGGGCGTCTCATCTTTGATTTAGCACCTTATAGCATTAAAACAATTGTCATTTCAGAATGTGTGGGGTTTTCGTAAGATTGGAGTAAGCTTTAACATAATTTTACCTGCAATGTGCAAACAGAATCTGTTGCAGCAAATATTGCACCAATTGCTGACGTGAGGGAGAAGAAAGGGAAACTCAAAAAATTTAGGTGGAGCCCCATCTAACAAGTAAATATGTGAAGCAAACAGAAGTTGCAAGGTAATACCTAGATAATCACTAATATCCAGAGAGCCAATTTCCAGGTTCCTAAAGAATAACATGACACCTGAATCATACACGAGGATAAATAATAGCAGTAGGATGCATTTTCCATAGATACTAGATAAGCCATAAAGTACTTAATCATCTCTCCTCTTTAGAAAGAAACAGCAAGGCAGTTTTTTCAAGTTGTAAGTTATCATTTATTTACGTTTATCTGTACAGTCAACCCTGATAATAGGACGAAATGACCCTCTTCCTCTTCTTGTTTCTGATCAACATAACAATATTAACTATTCAATTCCTTCCAAAAAATTTAACATGTATGTTAAAGAGACTAACGGTGATTAAGCAGCTATATTTGGGAAAATCAATTATGGGAATTATATGTATAAGACGTGATTATGGACACAATGTAATTTTACCTTATTCAATATTTCCGTAAACATCATTTCTGTAAATAGTCTTATGCTTGATGTATAAGTATAGGAAACCATTATCAATAAACAGAACTGGAATTTATCTTTTTCTTCATGGTACCAGAGCCATAACTGGCAAACGCCGAGCAATTTCGATCCACCGTCTCACTTCTTTTCAATGGCGCAAACACCACAGGCAAGTCCAGCACTTTAGACTTGACAAAATTAATCACAGAAATGTCAAAACCCACCAGCTCCTCATCAAATTCATCACTCCCTCTCAACTACAATATCTCATCCCAATTTCCAGTTCTCATGGACAGGAATAATTATCTCAGTTGGAAATCTCAATTTACAGACATTCTGGACATACATGGACTTGGAGATGTCATAAAAAATACTGTGGATCCACCCAAAGTGATGGGAGATGGAACTGTCGACCCGGATTTTGCTCGGGACAAATTGGTTTTGAGTTGGATCAAGGCAACATCCTCACCTTCCACTAAAACACTCCTCATCTCATGTTCTACTACCTCTCAGGCATGGAGCCTATTGGCTAAACGTCTCTCACCACTAGCGGGCAGCCGTGTGCGACTCGTACGGGATGAAATTCGAACGCTTAAATGGGACAACAATACCCCAATTTCTGACTATCTCAATCGAGCAAAATCACTCTTTGATTCTTTGAAGCAGGCTGGTGGTTCTATGGATGATGATGAGCTTATCACCTACACTCTTGATGGACTTGGACTCTTCAGAAATTTAGCAACAACACTTCATATGCACCCCGATTTGGAATTTGACCAATTTTATGATTTAGTTTTGAAAGAGGAGCATTTACAGAAGAGACTCAATCTGATTACTGCTTCTGAAGTTGCCATGGTTGCTGATCGGAGACCCACTGACCGTAATCCGAATTCTTTCTCTCATCATGGTGGTAACAGGGGACATGGCGGAGGCAACCGTGGTCGTGGACGTCGATTCTCTCTTTCCGACAGACATCCATCGACGTGGAGTCGGGAACACCCTCCTCAAGATCAGCCACCGCCATTTCTCTCCGACGGACGCCCTCCTCTCCTTCCCACACCGGTGGCCGCTCCTTCACGCAAGAATCCAATTTGTTTTAGGTGTGACAAAATGGGTCACATTTCTCGTTATTGTCTAGACCGTGGGCCTCAAGCATTTGTGGCCCAAAATGCTTCCTCACCCACAACAGTCCAACACTCTAATTGGTGCTTTGAAATGAACTAAAAATTACTCATATTGGGAATGCAAAATTAACTGGACCCAAGAAATTAGTAAATCTTAACGAGGTTTTATGTGTTCCTGCCATTCGAAAAAAATTTAATATCCATTCGTCGTCTTTGCCGTGATAATGATTGCTTTCTTGAATTTGATACTAATGGATTTCTTGTAAAGGACAACAAGACAGGGAGTATTCTTCTCACTGGGAATAGCTCGGATGGACTCTATCATATTCAACCGCCTCCACCCAGCACCAATCAGATGGCTTTCTATGGTGCTTGCACGACTCCACATGTTTGGCATACCCGTCTTGGTCACCATGTACAATCTATCCTTAATATTTTGTTGCATACATGCAATTTACCTGTTTGTCGTACAATTAAATCTTTCAAGAATTGTCATATTTGTCCGTTGGGAAAATCTTGTCAACACCCTTTTCACTATCGTAGTTTCCATGCACAATCTCCATTGGATTTATTACACCTTGATTTATGGGGTCCTTCACATATTGCATCACATCATGGATTTCGTTACTATTTATCGATTGTTGATGATCACACCCGATTCACTTGGCTCTATCCGTTGGGACAAAAATTCGAGGCCCTCTCCACGTTCATTACATTTAATAAAATGGTCGAAAATTGGTTTAAATCTACTGCTAAATAAATTCAAATTGATGGTGGCGGTGAATTTACAAGCAATCTTTTTATCTCTTTTCTTCACGATCATGGGATTTCTTATCAAATTTCTTGCCCTCACACCCCTCAACAAAACGGAGTGGTGGAACGAAAACATCGCCACATTGTGAGTATGGGACTTTGTCTCTTGGCCCAATCTCATCTTCCGTTTAAATTTTGGGTAGAAGCCTTCTCTACTGCAGTATTCTTGATTAATCACTTGCCGACACCTCTTCTCGGCTCCAAGTCTCCGTTTGAACAGCTTTTTTCTCGGGTCCCGGATTATACTATCCTTAAGAGTTTCAGATGTGCATGCTTTCCTCATTTAGTACCATACAACAAACATAAACTTGCATTTAAATCCACACCTTGCATCTTTCTTGGATACGAGGCTCACTACAAGGGATATCGTTGCCTTGACATGACAAGCGGTCGGGTCTATATTTCACGAAATGTTGTTTTTGACGAAACGACATTTCCATCTACTACAAATTCACTTCATTGCGCAACTTCTGTACTTACTGGTCCCAACTCTCCCACTGCATCGAGTGCGAATTTAATTGGCCCTCATGATATTCGTTCCCCGGCCGCTAGCCCGTCTGCCATTCAGACCAATTCTTCTCCCTTATCGAGCCCAATAGATACTTCTAGTAAGCTTTCCTCTTCCACTCCTGGGCCTTCATCTCCCGTGCACTCACTTTCACCTCTTATCAGCTCAAATTCCCAGCTTACCCTTACACATAACGACACCAGCCCAGATCTCTCCCTCCAGACAAGACCAGAATACACTCATGCTTCTCCCTTCTCCTTACCCGACTCCCCAAACCCTCCTAAAAAGTTTCGCTCCCTCTCCTCCCTCTACTCTCAAACCAGTCCTCACCCCTTACCCCATGCACTATCCGCACTATTATCTGATCCCTTAAATCATGAACCTACCAGCTTTACAGTTGCTTCTCGATATACTTATTGGAAGTCAGCTATGAATGATGAGTATGATGCTTTCATGCGTAATAACACATAGACACTAGTTCCAGCCTCCCCTTCTATGAACATTGTCGGCTATAAATAGGTGTTTAAAGTAAACAATCGGACGGGTCCATTGATCGTTACAAAGCACGTCTTGTGTCCAAGGGATTTAATCAAAAGGAAGGTCTTGATTTTGACAAAACATTTAGTCCAGTGGTCAAACCAGCTATGATTCGCACCATCCTTACCCTTGCTATTTCTTATGATTGGCCCCTCCAACAACTTGATGTTCATAATGCCTTCTTAAACGGGGTCCTACAAGAAGAGGTCTACATGAAACAACCCCCGGGTTACCACGATCCCCATGTTTGCTGTCTTCATAAGGCTCTCTACGGCCTTAAATAGGCACCCTGTGCTGGGTTTCAACGTCTTCGCTCTTTCTTATTGGACCATCAGTTCATTTATATCCGTTCTGATGCTTCTTTATTTTACTTACACTCCCCAGCTGGTTCCATCTTCATTCTTGTATACGTTGATGACATTATTGTCACTGGCTTTGCCATTCAGGATATCGACACCTTTTTGAATCTCTTGTGTTCCACCTTTGACAGTCGTCGGATGGGTGATCTCTCGTTCTTCCTTGGTATGGAAATATCTCGCACATCTTCCTCGCTTTTCTAGGCTTAAACAAGGTATGCAGTTGATCTCCTCAATCGATTTAATATGACAGAGTGTAAACCTTGTCCCACTCCACTTCCATCGGACACTAGACTTTCTTGCACCGACGGCAACCCCCTTTCCGACCCTACTTTTTATCGGAGCATGGTTGGTGGTCTTCAGTATCTTACTTTCTCTCGCCTAGATATTTCTTTTGCGGTCAACCAATTTTGCCAATTCATGCATAGTCCCCGTACCACTCATTTACCAGTTGTCAAACGCATTTTTCGTTACGTGAAATGTACTATAGACCATGGCCTTGTGTTTCATCGCTCTTCTGACCTCTCTCTACATGGGTTCTCCGACTCCAATTGGGCTGGCTTAGTTGATGATCGTAGGTCTACGACTGGGGCGTACATTTTTCTCGGGCCTAATTTTCTTACATGGACGGCTAAGAAACAGATAACCATCTCTTGCTCCAGTACGGAAGCTGAATATCGAGCCCTTGCTTATACAGCTGCAGAACTTCGTTGGGTCGGTTATCTATTTCGTGAACTTGGCATTTCAATCTCATCTGCTCCCTGCATATTTGTCGATAATGTCTCGGCCATTCACTTGGCTGCCAATCTCGTGTTCCATGCTAGAACTTGCCACATTGAAATTGATTATCATTTCGTTCGAGAGCTCGTCGCCCGCAAAGCTCTCTTCACACGCTATGTCCCATCTTCTCACCAACTTGCCGATTTCTTTACTAAAGGCCTCTCTTGTGATAGGTTTCAATTCCTACGGTCCAAGCTCAATCTCCGCATTGCTCCGTTAAGCTCGAGGGAGGGTAAAGAGACTAACGGTGATTAAGCAGCTATATTTGGACAGCAGCTATATTTGGGAAAATCAATTATGGGAATTATATGTACAAGACGTGATTATGGACACAATGTAATTTTACCTTATTCAATATTTCTGTAAACATCATTTCTGTAAATAGTCTTAAGCTTGATGTATAAGTATAGGAAACCATTATCAATAAACAGAACTGGAATTTATCTTTTTCTTCATGAGTTGAAGAAGACCACAAAAAAATCCAGATGTTTCATCCAATATAGGAACAGATCTCTCACAAGTGGTAGTTATGCCAAAGACACTCACAACGATATGCAGTTTATGAAAATGACCTATTTCCATATTCTTTACGTATATTTCAAGAGCTTAACATGAATGCTATCCACGTCAAGAACATACAAAAGGCTTTGGAATGAGCATATATAAAACTAAGAGCAATATCTAACTTAGAAAAACAAATACAATCTGAAGCATTAAAATTTTAAGATGGTAACTGAGTATCAAATGGAACTACAGGTAAAAAGAAAAAAATTGAATGTTACAAAGAGACCATTTTAATATTCCGTGACTAGAAAAATTGATATAACAGAACCAAATCATAAACGTTAAGTAAAATCTTGATATACACGGAATTTTTGCATGGGTAAAAACAACATGGACAAAGTAGAAAAATAAAATACCAGTTGATATGACAGCACATGAAATAAGTGTACCAACAGCTCCAAACAACATTATAGTGATGAAGTTGCGGAAAAATTGTTTCCTCTCAACCTGGAACCTGTCACAGGAAGTAATAAAACTTTAAGCTCCTGAACAGATATTTTACTGGAAAAGTACGCAGGTTTTCTAACATCAGGCCCGCAACAAAAAATCATATTATAATACTGAAGAAAATTTTCTTAGCCTTTGATTTAGTAGATTCTCAAGATGATAAAAAATTGATTGTGATACGTCTTCATATTGAAATGGGGAAAAGAAAACAGAAGGAACTAAACTCTGCTTTTAGAGCTCAAACTCTTAACCTATTCAACATCTATTTCACCATCATTACTATCTGCTTGCATAGCATCAAAATTCCAATTAAAGATCAAACCTTTTGAACTGTTAATGTTTTATTTGTTTATTTAGCAGAATAATTGTTGAGTCCTACTTTGTAGGAATTTGGCTGAAGTTTTACCAATTCTTTAGGAGATCCCATGAGAATAGGAGTTGTTAGTCATGGGTTAGTCGTTGCTTATTTTCTGCAAGTTTGTTTCACTTGTCTTTCTATTTAAGCTGTTGATTTCATCAATAATACTTACTGGAATTTAGAATAATCTTCTCCTCAATATAATTTCAGTTTCTTTCATCTGGTATCAGAGCCACCACTGGGCTGAGGTAAGGAAATAGTAGCAGCTTACTTGCAGCAGCAAGGATAAATGATGATAGAAAACAACAATTATGTGCAACCTGCGATTCCCAGATTTGATGGTCATTATGACCATTGGAGTATGTTAATGGAGAATTTCCTGAGGTCCAAGGAGTATTGGACACTTGTGGAAAGTGGGTATGTTGAACCAGGTCCAGGCGAAGCACCTTTGACAGAAGCTCAACAAAGAAGAATTGATGAGCAGAAGCAAAAAGATTTGAAGGTGAAGAACTATTTATTCCAGGCAATTGATCGTAC